ACTCAATAGAGTAATGAAGATGTAGACATGAGGTTGGGATCAGGCCTTGTCTGTCAGATCCTCGTTGTCTAATGAAGGCTTGCTCATAGAGGATCCTTGTGTATTAATTTTCACACCAAAATGGATAACGTAAACAGCTCTAAAAGCCCTACTGTTTTCTCACATTTCCAAAAGAATTCAAGGATAAAACTCCTGCAACAAGTCGAGTAGTGAGGACTTTGAACTTGTGGGTTTTGCTATATTTCTCTACTGCCAAACAATGAGGAAGAGACCATGCAGAGAAAGCAGGATGATGCAGGGGCTTGATAATCCCCAGTTGAAGGGCTACAGAAGATTTATCTTTTGTTGTTTCTTTGTAGTGATTGGATTTTTTGAGGGGAGGGTGAGAGAGACTTTGTTGCAAAGTAATTGAACTCAGTCCTGGAAGGAACACAAGAGGCCTGAGACTAACAAAGCTATTTGTCTTGCTGCTAAATCAGAGAGGAGGCAGAACAAGGGTACTAAATGATTTAGGAAGAATTTCTTTAGCTAGTGATGTTAGTTCCTGCAGCAGGGGACAAGCAGGAGTCAGCTCTAGTGATAATTGCAAGACTTTGAAACTATGCATACAAGGAATGCTCCTGGCTAGATTTACTAGTTACCCCAACAGGAGACTGATTGAGTGCATTTTGCTTTCCCTTGCACTTCACTGTGAATTGTGCCATTACACAGATATTTTCTTGGCAACTGCAGGAGGCAGTGACTGACGCAGGGCACAAGTTTCCAGTATGTGGTCATGAGCATGGCTCTGGGTGTTCAGTCCTTGCTTCGGGACTGTCCTGCAACATTGACGCTTTCATTTTTTTGAGAAATGATGTTGCTATGGATCTTGAAAAAACCTCTAAACATGAACAAAACATGACCTAAAGATGGGGGTGCTTGAGTCTGCAGACAAAGACTCTAAGAGGTGCAACTTTCCAAATTATTTAATGGACCAGCCAATTGAGAATCTAGTCAGTACATTTCAGGACCAGTATTCTTAGCTGGTTTGCTGCTGATAATTTTAATGGGCAGCCAATCTTTATTCCAAATAACATTATACTGTTGTTAAAAGCCCTATATTTGTCTCTAAACCAAATCTCTAAGCCTCCATTTTTCTCCTGACAACTTTTACATTTGTTGTGCAGTTTCACATAACATTCTGCAGCTTCTTGATTTTACAAAAAATAGGATTCCTATAACATTTAAACTGATTATCAAATTAAACAACACGGAACATTCTGCAGTTATTTAGTTTTCTGTTTACATATTTACATAAATAGAAACATTTATTTTTAATTTATTGGAAGATCCTACAGGATCTTCAGTATTCAGGTGCCTTGCTGAAGGATTTAAGCATAATAATTTGCATATCTAATGTATATTGTTAGCAAAATTAGTTAGGACCCTATTCAGGCAAAAAGGGAATACTAATTTGTTTACACAAAATGCAAACTGTAGTCCTAAAATATTGTTTATTTTTATTTCATTTGGTACAATATATACACTGAAGGAAAATGGCCTTGTATGTAAAGCATAAAGACAGTTGTGGTTTTTCCCAATTTATTTCTAATAATAACAGCCATTTTGACAGTGTTTTCTGTAAAACATAATGTTACATATCGGCAAAGAAACTTAAGTGAATTTTATGCATGCTTTACTTATGCTGTAGGTGAGGTTTAATGGCCCTTCTGGTCTCTTTGAGGCTGATACAATAAAGGACTTAGACACCTCCCAGTTAGGCACTGTAATACCTAACTTCTAGGCACCTAGCTGACAGTATGAAATCTAAAATTCAGAGTTAGGTTCTAGCCTCCCTATATACTCTGCAGTCCCCTCAGAAGGATGATACAAAAAAATGTAATGGGGTAATGCCTTACAGTTAGCCAATGGGAAACACTGAGCACTAGGATGCATCACTCTCAGTAGCATAGGCACCTGGGTCAGAGCTGTTAGACAGGCATTTCCATTCACTTAGAATCCAGTTTGGGCACTAACAGAAGTGACATCTGTCCTGTGATCAGCCCCTTAAAAGCACTCTACAGCTGTGCCCTGACAGAAGTGCAGGGCTGCAGAGTGCTTTAAAAGTGCCCAATCACACAGCAAATTAACCCTCATTATCTGAGGATTCAGATGAAGGCACTCCAAAGCAGAGTGCCTTCAGTAATCTGACTGATTGGAGCTGGGCTGATGTAGTCGAGGCCACCCCTGGTGCTCTCTGTATGATGGGAGGAGGAAGCGGGAAGCTCCAATCCATTCACCCCCTTCCAGCACATGCTGGGCAACCCCCAGTCTAGAGCGCCTCCCCTCCTTTCTCCCCCTCCCATCATGCAGACAGCACCAGAGCTTAGAAGTCTTCTGTGCTGTGGGGGGAGGGGAAGGAGGGGAGGATACTATAACTCATGGCACTTTCTGTGAAATGCCATGAGATACAGCAGGAGGCTGAACATCTGTCAGGGCCCTATGTGGGACTTGATCCTGAGGGCTAGCAACTACAAGCATGGTATTCTTTAGAGGAAAGAAGCAGAGCTCACATGTTTGTAAAATGGTTTATGGTGAAACTGGTTTCTGGAACTTCTGTCCCATCTCCCTTCCCAATTCAAGTTAACTCACATGCTTTGCAGCCCTGAGTGAGGCTTGCTGGCCCTTTTGGTCTCTTTGAGGCTGATACAATAAAGGACTTAGACACCTCCCAATCAGGCAGTATAACACCCACCATACATGACGGACAGTGTGGAATCTCAAATTCAGAGTTAGGTTCTAGCCTCCCTATATAGTCTATTGTCCCCTCAAAAGGATGATACCAAAAAAAAATAAAATACAGCGGAGCACGGCTGGACCCTTCGCCAGCTGTCATAGTGCAGAGGTAGTAAAGCTTCTGCTCTCCGGCCTGCTTCCTGTCTGTCAGCCCAGCAGGATGAGGGCAGAAGAACAGACCACCCCCTGCCAAGACCCCCTAACCCCTGTCAGTAAAGCAAGGGGAGGAAAAGCCCTGAAGGAGGGGGATTTTTGCTTTCTCCCTTGCAGCCCAGTGAGCCAGGCTGAGATCAGCTCAGGCCCACCCCCTCCCAAGCCATCTCTCTGAGAAGTGGGGTGCTGGGTGTGAACACACCCCCTGGCCTGGCATCGGACCCTCACCTGAGATCTGCCCAGCACGGGGGAGAGAACCTGCACTGCAGGGCTTTTTATGTGCTTGCAGCTAGGAGCCAGGCTGAGATTCCCCCAGCCCTACCCTTTCACCTGGCTGGCTGGGGGGTGAAAAGCTCCCCCTGGTGGAGGCTTCCCCTCCCCCCCATACCAGGTAGACCCCAGCTAGGGGGGTGGCAGTGCCAGCCACCCCCCAAAGGAAGGGGCTAGGGAAAAATTGGCTGCTGAACACAAGCCCCACCTCTTATCAGCAGCAGAGGGTAGCACCAGTTTTCAATCCAGTCAGAGTTATTGCTGAGTTGGGTTCCGCAGC